GGGACGTGTCGCCCGGGACGTGGGACGTCGGTGGAGACGGATCCCCCGGGGACGTGGGATCGTGGAGACGGATCCCCCGGGGACCGTAGGCGTGTGGAGACGGATCCCCCCACCCCGGGGACTGGGATGTGGAGACGAAAGCCCTGGGTTTATGAAGTGGAGCAGGAAGGAGCTGGTGAATGCTTAACAGTCTGCCCTCCGGGGTGAAAGTGCGCTATTTGTCATGTTGTTGGCTGCCATGGTGTAAATGCTCCCCCGTGACTGATTTCAAGGGACTGATGCGACGTTGCTGACGCAGGGCTGGGAAGGCACGTGTAGGAGCTGCTCTTCGAGCCCTTGTGCCCTGGCTCCAGCCGCCACTTTGAAGCCCCCAGGACTCCAGTATGCAGTGGGCGGCTGGGCAGTGGTACCGGCGTGCAGGAACACTTTGGGCAATACATCCAGGAGCAAAACATATGGACTCCTGGCAGTCTCCCCAACCCCAGGTGCATCCTCAGACTGACACACATGCTTAATGTTCACAAAAAGACTCGTACGAGAATGTTCTAGAAACTAGGAAATACCCTGATGGCCTTCGACAGCAGGGTGGAAAATTACTCATGGATAGCCACACAACGAAACAGCGTACCGATGAGAAGGGCGACTCGCTGCTGCACACGCCACCACCCAGGAGCTTCCTGCACACAGCGTTGTGAGGAGCAGCCAGACACATTCGCTCGCTTTGTGAGTCCTCGTGCAAGGTTCCAGACGAGCTCCATGAACCGAGGAGTCAGAATCCAGGACACTGCTCGTCTCCGGGGGAACAGAAGTGCCTGCAAGGCGGCACAGGTGGGCTGGTGATAAGCTATTTCTTGACTTGGAAATGAAGCAGACACACCGACTTCATTTATGATAACTGAGAGGCACATTCCTGTTTGTGCACTTTTTAAACTACAGTTAAATTTGTAAGGGTCTGGAACATCAGTAAGATATCTATACACTAACAGTGAATAATCCAAGAAAGACACTGAGCATACAGTTCCATTTACAATAGCACCAAAAGGAATAAAACACTTAGGAATAAACGTAACCGGGGGCTCAAAGACTGCATGTTGCAAACAACAGAGCACTGCTGAGAGAAGCTAAGGGAGGCCTGAAGAAGCGGAAGGACACCCCACGCTCACGGGCTGGAAGATCTGATCTTCCTAAGATGATAATGCCACCCAGATGACCTCGTCTACAATCCCTGTCAAAACTTCAACAAGGCGTTTTGCAGAGACAGAAAATTTCATCCTCAGATTCACGTGGAATCTCAAAATCTCCAAAAAGAAGAACAAAACTGGAGAACTCAAGGTTCCCGATTTCAGAAGTTACTGCAAAACTATAGTGATCAAAACAGTGTGGTGTTGGCGTAAGGACAGACATACAGACCAGTGGAGTAGAACCCAGAGCCCAGGAGTAAACCTGCACATGTGTGGTCAGATGATTTTTGACAAGGGTGCCAAGATCTTTTGATAGGGAAAAGGAAAGGACAGCCTTTTCAACAAAAGGTGCTGGGCAGACTGGACATCCACATGCGAAAGAGAGACGCAGGACTGTTATCTAACACTGCACACAAAGATTAACTCAAAATGGATCAAGGACCTAAAGTAAGAGCTACAAAAGGAAGGGAAGCATAAGGGGAAACACGACTTTGGATTTTGCAATGATTCCTTGGATGTGACACCAAAAGCACAGGCAAGAAAATAATAAATTGGACTTAATCAAAATCTAAAACTTTGTCTATCAAAGGACACTATCAAGAGATTGAAAAGGCAGCTCACAGAGTGGGAGGAAATATTTGCAAATTGCATATCTGATGAGGAATTGATACCCAGAATACATAGAGAACTGCTCAGACTCCACCACCACAGCAACAACAACAAAATAAACAACCCAATTAAAAACGGGCAAAGGACTCGACCAGACGTTTCTCCAGAGAAGACGTGTGAGTGGCCAGCAAGAACACGAATCGCGCACGTCACTCATCGTCAGGGGAGTGCAAACCAAAGCCACAGCGAGATACCACCTCACACCCATCAGGCTACTATCAAAAGACCGGAACAGAACCAGTGTGGGTGAAGACGTGGAGAAGCTGGTGCTCTCATGAACTCTTGGTGGGAACGTAAAGTAGTGTAGCCACTGTGGGGAACAGTATGGAGATCCCTCAAAAAAGCAGAGAATTACCACGGGATCCAGAAATTCCAGTTCTGGGTATACACCCCAAAGAATTGCAAGCAGGGTCTCAAAGAGGTATTTGCACACCCATGCTCACAGAAGCATGTCCACCACAGCTGAGATGTGGAAGCCACCCGAGTGTCTGTGGATGGATTAAGCCAATGTGGCCGTCCACACGGTGGAACACAGGGACATAATCAGTCACAAAGAGGCAAATGCTGTGTGTTTGATTCCACCTAGAGGAGGTCCCTAGAGCAGTCAAATCTAAAGATGGGTGCCAGGGGCCGGGGGTGGCGCTGGCGGGGGGCTGGGGAGTTGTGTAATGGAGACAGAGTTTCAGAGTCACAGGATGCTGAGCCATGGGGGGCAGTGGTACTGGCTACACAAGAGTGTCAGTGTATTTAACACTGCTAAACTGTCGCTTAAAAGTGGTTAAGAGAATACATTTTATGTTGTATACATTTTACTGCAATAAAGAAAAGAGAAAAAAAATCATGAAGAGGTTGTATGTGCCTGGGTCCAATCAGGAGACAGGAACCACCCAGGGTCCAGCAGGGAAGTTCTCAGTGAAGGCTTGTTCACAATGAAGAGGGGTTAACTCTGAGAGCCCGGTTCCCACCCCTCGGGCTGAGGGAGGGTCCCACCTCCTTGGGGAAGGGGCTCTGGAGCTGGCCTGTGCTGGGCCTGTGGGGAACCCAGGTGCCATCCCCGGTGAGAGGGGCAGCAGAAACCCAGACGTGCTTCCCCTGCACGTGTGGCAGGTGAGTGAGCGCCAGCCCCCACCCGAGACCTGCGAGGACCCGACAAATCGTGATTGTGGGCACTGCGCTGCCCCGGGTGCCCCAAAAGCGTCGTCTCACGCCCCATCCTTGGTGACACCGCTGTGCTGGGGACACCCGGTCGGCTGCATCTCCCATGAGAAGAGTGAACGTTACTCTTTTGCTCTGATCTTTAACAATTAGAGCAATTGCTGTGAAATACAAACGAAGAAAACCAGGATGGACAAGGAGGCTGCCTGTCTTCCAGGTCCCGGAAGGTGAATCTGGGACGTCGGTGGAGCCGGAAGAGAGAGCTGTGAGCACACAGAGCGGGGGGAGCCCCTCTGGTGGGAGGATGGGTCCTGGGGGCCTGCAGAGAACAGCAAGGAAAGGGCGGGTGTGGGGAGACCCCCGCCCCCGGGGCCCCTCTGAGAACTGGCTGCAGTTCCCACTGCTGGTGGGCCTCTCCTACCGGGAGGGGCAGGGGGAGGGCGGGGGAGGAGCTTGCTGGTAGGTGGGTGGCTGGGCGAGGGGCCCCGCCGGCTGGGAGGAAGCCCCCACGGCGAGCAAGGACGGTTTGCTCCTGACCCAGACACGCAGCAGGTACCACCAGCGCACTGTCCTTAACGTTCCTCTATTGAATGGCACAGTGAGGCCCTCTGCCCTGAAAAAACATGCCAGTGGGCTGGCTGACTTCTCAGATTCCGTCATAAAAGGCAGATGCCACTGGGAACTGGCCCCCAGGCTTGGAGGAAGCCCCAGCCACGTAGAGCCCACAGGCAGGGGCTCCAGGCCCTGCTAAGGTCCCAGCCCAGCATGACACCCTTGGCCGTGAGCGAAACGGCCTCTTGACCACTCCACCCACTGACACCAAGAGCAGGGACCAGCTGCCTGCTGAGCCTGCCCACGTGTGGCTCGTGGGCAAAACAGACGTGGTGGCAGTTGAAGGCACCGGGTTTTGGGGTGGCTGGTCACTCACCAACTGGTAACAAGTAGGTACTCTTAGCTCAAACGTCAGAGACCCTCAAGTAGACACCCCGGGGCGGCCTCCGGCCTCCCGACCCTGGGGGCGGCTGCATGCAGGCCTCCTGGCGCTGGAGGCCGCAGACAGAGGGCATTGTCCCTGCCCCATGTGGGTGAGCGCAACGTGGCCTGGCCGCCCAGGCGGCGGGGGAGGGTCCCCCAGGAGATTCCTGAGGACACAGTGAATTACAACTCTGAAGGGGGACTCCCCACTCAGCCCCTGGGCATTAGCAGTCTGGTGATGAACAGGGTGCTTGGCAGACCAGGTCAGGGAGGCCGGCGCGGGGTCCAGCGGGGGGGCTGCTGGCCATCCATCACTGGGCGGCTGGCCACGTGTGGCCAGCGCTGCCCTCCACTGGGACTGCAGGTCACCTTGTAGCCAGAAGACAGGTGCCTCCAGCTGGGCCAGTTGCTGGTCTGAGTGGGGGACTCTGGGGCCTGGGGGAGCAGGCTGGCCTGTCCGCGTCCTGTCGCACTGCCCACCCGTCTCCTGCCCAGCCTCGTCCTCCACATTGCCCTGCCCCTGGACCCTCACCTGCCACTCTGTCCCCTTGTCCATCCTTCTGCCCCCTCCTCCCCTACTCTGCCCCCATCCGTGATTCTCTCTGTTGCTAAATCCCACCAGCCTCCAGGTCCCCTGCTGTCACTCCGTCCTCCAGGAAGCCGTCCCGGGTGTCTCGGTGGCCCACCCTG